GAGCATCCATGCCTCGCTGGATCGGCTTGCAGGCCCAATGGCCTGACCATCGGAGCTGCCAGCCCGCTTTGCTGTGCGGCCTATAGCGGAGACTGAAACCTGCTGCTTCAACAATATATTAAGCATTAAAAACGCTATAAATACTCTTATTTGCCTTTCCGAGTACACAGCACTGGCAGAAATGCCATGCGTCTGCTGGGCTCCGAGAGCGGCTAATCGAGCGCGTAGTGCGCAGGCGCGTGTGATCCGCCTTTGGAAGCAAGAAGAAGCTTATTATCGCACTTAAATAGTATGCTTCATACAAAAACAACGTCATAACTGGGTGCTGGCTGCCCCTATGGCTGCACTGTGGCGAAGCTGTGCCTGTACCCCACGGTGCCTCTGCACGACCACATAAAGGCTAAGTTAATGAACCGAAATCCAAGTGACATTCGAAGACTCTGCAGCCATAAAAAAGCCATTGTATCACCCTGGTTCCAGGGGCTCGCGTAGTTGTCTGGCTGGTCCATGTCTTTGCTACGGATAAAAGACGCTACAATCCTGTTGCCGGATCACGGGTGCTCCCGGTCTCGGGACATAGGGAAGCAACTTAGAAGCGGCAGTACATTATCCCGCGGCAATTGCACTACCTGGGTTGAATTGCTATAAAAGATATGCTCCCAAACCCTCTATAGACCTGAGCCTGTGTTGAATTCGACGGAACTTCACTGTACAGCCGCCAAGAATAACAGGCAAGATGAACCATTCACCTCCAAGCCACGTCTGCCCAGATGGCGGAACCCAGCTGCTCCACCGGCAGGGCGGAGCGAGAGGCAAAAACGTAATTTGTCCCTGTGCACTGTATAACCGGCTTGTTTACCACTATTTCGCAACAGTTTAATGACCTGCCAGCAGTTAACTCCGCCCTGGTGCTCTCATCAGCCGTAAGCTTCTCAGTATGTATGTATGTATGTACAGTATGTGATCCGCCGGCTTCTACACATCAGCAGGTAGCGAATCTCCTTGCTTCCCTCAAGCATAAGAAAATGCCTCCTGGATCACCCCCCTCTTGAAAAGCCTTACGTCACAGCAAGCTGAGGCCAAGGATAGCTAATGCAAGACCGACAACACCAGGTGCAACAGGCGAGGCAGAGCCTTCGAGAGCGGTCACGATCTGTCCCCATTGCTCGTCTCTGCAGAACACACACCGACGAGCAAAAACAATCTCCAGTCAAAACAGAACACAGGGAGAAATAGAAGTTGTAGGGCTTGAGAACACTCACGTGAAAGGGGCCGCGCCTCCTACGGTAAGTACATCAGGTGCGGTCATGCAAATTAAAGCCGATGCTTTTGTGCCTGTGCCTTCTCCCGAGCCTCCTCGTGCGCTGGCACTTGAAGCCCCTGCCGGTGTTTGAGTGCAGGTGACGACACGGCAATCTGCAGTAGCCTCCTTNCGCTGGCACTTGAAGCCCCTGCCGGTGTTTGAGTGCAGGTGACGACACGGCAATCTGCAGTAGCCTCCTTTGAAGGGTTGTACAGGGCCACGAATGACACGTTCTCCTGAGTGTCGTAAAGATCCTCTTCTTCCTTGTTAGCCGGAGGCAATCCATCAAAGTTGCTGTAGGCTTCCTTCCACTTATCCACAACGGCCTTGCAGTCGACGGAATTGGGATCGTCAATCGGAAGGTATGCGTATGTGCCGCTCTGGAACTCAGCTTTATCCTCAGTGTCTGCAGAGCTCCTTGATTTTGTCTTGGTCTGGAGGCAACAGGAGAAATGGCAAACACCGAAATGATTTGTGCAGGCATTGAATGCCCCTTGGAGGGCAGTTAGGGATGTAAACAACTTACTGGAATCAAGGCTTCGCACACTGGTTGCCAGGCCCATTCAGTATCAGGCTCTCCTTCGTCAGGTTTGTCTTTTTTAGGCAGCCTGTGTGTTGGATCAACTGCTTTTGTGAGTTGGCTGAGGCCAGCTGCCACGCGAGCAGCATTGACCTCGTCGAGGCACTTTCCTTCATCTCCTGCAGAAAAGCGACCAAATCATATTGCATTTGTGACGAATGCTTTGCAGTCAAAAAAATGTTACATGGAAACCTTTGAATTCGCTGGAAACCGAATTCGTCCGCGGGGTTATGCTCTTTAGGGCACACTACGGGGGCCTTGCCAGGTGACGGGTTCTTGCCATGCAGGCCCATCGTTCAAGCAGCCAAGAGCCCTTGTTACAGGGAAACCTACCCAACTCTACAGTATAAGTTGCCTGTTCGGCTGGGGTTTTGTCGTTGGCTTTGGCCAGGAAGAAGAGCGAGGAACTGACGACTGTGAGCAGTTTGAGAGGTGCCATTGTCACCGTATGGTTGTCTGTGTAGTCGAACACGAAGCCTAGATGCAACCCAAAAGATCATCAGGTTATATTAACCCTATTCAAATCGCATTAACTACGACCTTATTGTTTGCTTCAGCGGCTCTGAGGCGGTCGGCGCCTGGGGTGCACATGACGCTGTTCCTGTTCCTGGTGA